TCTTCAGATTCTTCATCAATTCAAATTTTATTACACAACTGCATATTACTCAATATGTATCCGTCTATTTTAAGTTTTAAAAAATATCTAATTTCAATCAAAAATATTGCATACAAGTATTTACAGCCGAAAAAAAAGAAATGTGTAAATCTTCCAAACAATAATCTCTCTCTTCCTCACCACCTTCAAAATATGCCATCAACTGTCCAAAGTTACAATAAAGATATATATATATAAATTTATTTTCTGTTGTCTACTACATTATAATAAATATAAACTGATGCATTCAATTTAATTAAACAAATCTGTACAGTTAATTTGGTAAATGAATGCATCTAAGAGAAATACAATTGTAAAGAACCTTTATAATCACTGACTCATCAAATTTAAATGATTGATTAATGCTTGACAAAGATAAACACTCGATGTAATATGTTACATTTTATTTGCACATTAAAAACTAAAGTAGCAATTACTACTATAACAAATTATAGCACAATAATAAGGATTTAATATTCTTATTGGATCTTCATTTGTTAAAACAGCAAAAATAATTCAATTTTAACTGAATCTTTCAGACAAATTTTATTAACCCTTCAATTCATGGATGAAAAAATGTTTCATTATCATACAGCTTGGATATGAGGGACCCATAATCACAATTATTATTTCAAAGCATTAAGCATTAAAAAACATTAAAACATCATACAATTAGTACTTATTTACATTAATTACAGTTGTTATAAAAATAATCATCATAATATTTATATTAAATTCCAAAAAAATATTTGATAAAATCGGCACAATATGTGTTAGAATGTTCCAAAAAATATACTTACTGCACTTAAGACAGTAGATTGTTTTGCCAACAAAAAACAAAAGAAAATGATAATAATGACAAACCAAAAAGATAACTTCTAAAAATTTCAATAGTGTATAAAAGTGAATGTATTATGTAAACAGGAATTGGGTCTAATAGACTGAAATCATGTTTATCACATAATAGTAGGAGTGGAAATAAAGTGACAAATTAAAAAAATACTATTGTTTGAATCCTAGTGATCCAAGCGGCAGCTACTGTAAATTTCAGCGAAATATTGCAATGGAATCATCTCCAATTTATATCAATAGAAATTTTACAAAGCTTTCTAAAACTTTGTGGGTTGAAGGTTAAAGTAAGAAGAATTATCAAAAAGGGAAATTACTGTAAAGTGGCATTAACAAAACAAAATTTCATGGATACAGTTACTATTAGAGTATCAACATATATGAGTTTAATACGAGGGCTGTTCGAAAAGTTCGTGGCCTTGCCTATATGCGGTGCTGCGATTAATTTAATTTTTGACGGGAATAATTCAGCCATCTTCGCTAAAGATACAATACCAATTTCCGCTTGATTTCTCAAAAAGTTTTGCCACGACACTTAGCAGATAGTCAGTGTGCACATGCTTTGTCAAAAATGGAGAAGACGGAGACTTGTGCGGTCATAAAATACCTGACAAAAAAAGGGTTGACCCCATCTCAAATCAAAGCTGACATGGATGAAGTTTTAGGAGAGTCTGCTCCTTCGTACACCACTGTGAAAAAATGGACAACCCTTTTTAAATCTGGCAGAGAAAGTGTGGAAGATGACCCTCACAGCGGACGGCCGTCAACTGCTGTCACTGAAGAAAACATTGACAAAGTTCACGATTTGGTATTAGCAGATCGCCGATTGAAAACGCGTGAGATAGCTGAGACAATAGGCATCTCTGTCGACCGAGTGCACCACATCTAACCGAAAATTTGGGTATGACGAAGGTAAATATTGGTAAAATATATATAAATATAAATATGGTTAAGACTTATAAAGGATGAGTTATAAGTTACAAACTATGAGTTACGTGTTATTTCCAACTTAGAAAAAGGAAATCTTTCCAAATAACATACTGTAGCATCATTAATTATTTTATGCCAGAACAGTTAACAAAGCACATCAAAGAAAAACAGTTCTTCTAAAACAAATTCTTTAGAAGAACTTTTATACTTTTTTTGTTTTAATTTATATTGTATTTAAT